GACCTCTGCCCTCGCCCAGCCCGGCACCATCGAGCAGGCGGTGGAGGAGATCCGCGTGGTGGTCCGGCCCGTGGAGGACGGCGAGATCCAGGGGGTGTGGCTGCTGACCGAGTAAGCCGGGGCTGCCCGCTGCCCTTGGGGGGACCGCCCCGAGGCCCCGTCCGCGGCCACCTTGCTGGGACCTCCAGGCGGGAGGGCCTCCCGGGGAGCCAGGGTGCGCTCGCTCGCGGCGCTGGGTGTCCGCGCGTGCCCCTGCTGTCGCCCTGCCGGGAGGACGCGCCGGCTGGCCTCGGCCCTGGCGGCTGGGCCTTGGGGTGGCTGACCAGACACGGCCGCTTGGACTGAGGCCACTCCGCTTCCAGGGTGGACCACTGGAACAACGAGAAGGAGCGGCTGGTGCTGGTCACGGAGCAGTCGATGCTTATCTGCAAGTACGACTTCATCAGTCTGCAGTGCCAGCAGGTGGTCCGCATAGCGCTCAACGCAGTGGACACCATCTCCTACGGGGAATTCCAGTTTCCCCCTAAATCGCTCAACAAGTGAGTCTGCTCAGAGTCCAGTGCCGCTGGACTTCAGGGCCACAGAAGACCATATAATTCAACCCGTGTAAAGTCAGCTCCCATGTGTTATTCTCGCATCTGCCATCATCTAGAAAGATAAAGGCCTTTGCTTCAAAAATCAATGGGAAGTTCCTTAAAATAGAAGCAAGTGACTTCTGGGCAGTTGAGTGCATTAAAAGGAATTCTGGCACAAAAGACAGCAGTTAGGCTTGTAGTAAAGATGACTTGCGTGAGTTAAGGATCTATCGAAGTATGACCCAACGTGTTAAAAGCGAACTAGGATATTCTTCAGGCAGGGGCCAAACTCTGCATCTTATCCAGCCAGGAAAGGATTGTGTGGCATGTCAGGTCTTGCTGGGGTTAAATTTTAAAAGAGAAAAGTAGAGTGTTACTTTAATGGATAGATGTCACTAAAAGTTGGATAAATTTGAAAATATTTAATGGCAAACTTTCAAGAGTTGATCTTCTCTCTTTGGGAGAATTTTCTGAAATACGAGAAACCCAGACATTAGTAAACTAAAACTTTTTGATGTAGAGATTTGGATAGGGAATTCAGAGAGCTGAGCTAACATGAATACAGATTTTAACCAACATTTTAATATGACATTAAGGAAAAGGAGGCCAGGCGCGGTGGCTCACACCTGTAATCACAGCACTCTGGGAAGCCAAGGTGGGAGGATGGCTTGAGTTCAGGAGTTTGAGATCAGCCTGGGCAAGAGCGAGACCCTGTCTCTACTAAAAATAGAAAAAATTAGCTGGGTGGTGGTGCACGTCTGTAGTCCCAGCTAGTCGGGAGGCCGAGGCAAGAGGATCACTTGAGCCCAGGAGTTTGAGGTTGCTGTGAGCTAGGCTGCACTCTAGGCTGGGCAACAGAGCAAGACCCTGTCTCAAAAAAAAAAAGGGAGAGTTGCAAAAATGTCACTCATTGGGCTAGCCTATCTATAATGTATTCTTATTAATTTTTAATAATCATGTAAAGATTGTTGAGCATAATCAAAACAATGTACTTAAGAATATAGTAGTTAAAGCGATTGTTAGTGGAGACTACAGTTACTATTAAAATCCACAAGCCATTTTCAATTGCGAAATGTCAGATCCTTTCTTTAAATGTGCAACTGCTTTCTACTGTCATAGCCTCGTAACTGACAAGACTGTCCATGACAGTGCTGTGCCTGCCGTGTTAAGTCTGGTTATTTCTTCTGATTTGTCAGGCGAGAAGGTTTTGGGATTCGGATTCAGTGGGACAAGCAAAGTCGCCCTTCCTTCATAAACAGATGGAATCCGTGGTCCACAAACGTACCCTACACCACTTTCATAGAACACCCAATGGCTGGTGCCGATGAGAAGACAGCATCTCTGTGCCAGGTGAGAAGACAGACCTGCAATGCCGCGCTGCGCAGCAGTGACAGAAACGTTCTAGATGTGCGCTGTCCAGTACGGTGGCCACACATAGCACTGAGCACTTTAAATGTGGCTAGTAACAATGAGGACACAAACTTGTAATTTTCAAAAATTTTAGTTAATTTTTGTAAGTAGCCCCGTGTGGCTACTGCTGGTCAGCACAGCTCCATAAGGTGACCCCTTGCTGCTGATGAGACTCTTGGGGAAGGGCCAGATGGGCTTCAGGGAATGGCAGCAGACCCCCGGGCTGTGCCACAAGGCCATGAGCCTAGCTGGGCGGGTGGTGCACACCTGTAGTCCCAGCTGCTCAGAGGCCGAGGTGGGAGGATCACTTGAGCCTGGGAGCTGAAGGCTGCAGTGAGCTATGATCTTGGCACTACACTCCAGCATAGGTGACAGAGCGAGACCCTGTCTCTAAAAACACTAAATAAAAAGGACAATCAGTCCGAACACTCACCAGGAGCGGCGGCCTGGGGCCAGTGCTGGAGCAGAGCCCAGAGCCGGGTGGGTCCTGCACTTACCCACTGTGTGCTTGGCCTGGTCACTGACCTGGTAGGCTGTGATAAGGATTAAGTAGGTTAAGGTGGCAAAACCACTTAGCTCTATGAGGGCTCTGCAAGCACTGGCTGCACGGTCACCAGTGAGCACGTGGAAGCTCTCGGCTTACCTGGAGAGCTGTGCTAAGGAGCTGAGTTTAGGGGCCCTAGGGTGTCCTCCGAGGGGACAGAGGGCCCGGCAAGGAGCCACATGGAATTTGGAGGATTTTTGTGTCTCAAAATGCTAACTTTTCATAGTCATGGATTACTCTCATCTTGCCTGAAGGTTAAAGCTCCATGTTTTTTCTCTCTCTTTAAAGTTGGAAAGCTTCAAGGCTCTGTTAATCCAGGCTGTCAAAAAAGCCCAAAAAGAAAATCCTCTGCCAGGACAAGGGAACGGCGTACTGGTCTTGGAACGGCCCCTCCTCATCGAGACCTACGTGGGCCTGATGTCCTTCATCAACAATGAGGCCAAACTGGGTTATTCCATGACCAGAGGCAAAATAGGCTTTTAGCCGGCTGTATTCTGGGAGCTCTTCTCTGTCCTGAGAAAGCCAAGGCGACATGGAGACTGGAGCCTGCCAGTCCTCATGTAGCTCCGCTGCCAGCTGGCAGGACGGTGGGGGTGGGGTCCTTTACCTTTGGAGGTCTGAGTGCAATTAGAATAGTAAGGTGAATTATATATGTTCAGTTGGATGTCGGACATCTGCCGTATGAGCTACAGACAAAAGCAAATCTCGCTGTCATTGCACTGCTGGTGTCCCATCTTCTGTGACTTCAGTTCTGGCGTTTTCCTGAGTGTCTACTTGGCTTCTTGTGGTTCTGCCCATCCCGCCCACTGCAGCACGCTGGGATCCTGCCAGCATCCCCGCCACTGCCTCAGCCGCGTAGAGCGTTACACGTGGAGGCACCTAGCATCTATAGTGCCTGCAGTTGCAAATACGTTTACACTTGGTGTCAAATTTTGTATTTTGAAATTTAATCCATTTTTTTAAAAGCTAATAGAAAAGACGCCAGCAGACTGGTTAACTAAGCAAGATACAGTCTGTGCCTTGTCAGCTCCTGAACGAATAATTGTTCTTTTGTAAGTGTGTTTGATCCAAGTCACACTTTCTAAAATTAATCCAAGTTGTGTTAATACTTACGGCATCTTTCCCAGGCCCAAAAAGGTTTACAGAAAATCATTTTAAGACAATTTATTAATTTGAGATAGTCACCTTGGTTTTGCACACCGTCTTGACAAGTGTGTTCTGAGTTTGTATATTGTTATATTCATACTTAAAAGGGAGTTGGGTACTTTGCTTTTTAAAGAATGCACTTTAGGAAAAGGAACCACATCAGATCCTTACGAGGCAGCTAATGCCTGCCCTGGTTCCACAGCGCCGTAGCTGCCAGGCTCTATCAGCTCCTGGGGACGATTTCCACGCGGGGACCCCACATACCTGCCTGCAACCACGTGCTGCTTGCTTGTGTACTGGACGCATTTGCTGATAAATCAGTTTCTTCCTTCCACTTACGACTCCGTTGTAGCTTTAAGCTGACTGGCATGGTTGTGATCAGAATGCAGTAGCCTGCAAGACCCATCAAGCCCGCCTCTGGGACTTTAGCCTTTGTTTTCGGTCTCTTTGTAAAGACGTTTAGAACCAATGGATGTTGTTCCTTTTTTGAAGTTACTGTTATTAAAGTAGGTGCAACAACCAAGAAAGTGCCTCTTAAATGAGTTTAATTTGCAGCTTGAGCTCGGCTCTGCATGAACAGTAATGGGGATTCTGAGTTAACAGACTGGTGCTTACTGGGTACAGCTCTTCCCTTTACAGAAAGACGTAACAGTACGCAAACAGCCTAGGTTTGCAATCCTCATCCATCCACCTGTAGTGCGAGAGCCTGGCTGCCTGCCCAGCACCTGCTGGAGAGACTGATGGGATTGTTCGGTGGCCTAGGTGCCTCCTGCAGACAGCCAGGGTGGGCGCCCGCGGGCATTGGTTCTCAAGTCTGAGTGGCCGCCAGACTGACTCCCTGCGGAACCAACTTAGGTGAGGGACCCGGCCTTGACCAACTGCTCTGGAACCTGCAGCTCCCTGCCCGAGGGGAGCACTGCCCTCGGGTGCTGCGGCTGCCCTCCCTGCACTCCACAGTGAGTCCGACCACAGGGAGGCCGCACCTGCCCCGTGGAAATCCACGCCACTTTCCTAAGGCACCAGGGACTGAGCGGGAGCCAGAGCAGAGCCAGGTCTGTCTAGAGGGGAGCCCGGCCGCAGGGGCTGGACTATTTAAGGTTGTCCATCCATCCTGCTTAAGACTGAACCAGAAATTTAAGATTAACCAAGAAAAACTTCCCGTGTCCTAAACCTTTCAAGAAAACAAGCACTAGCAATTGTATAAATTATCAAATATTTATTTTAAATAAAAATCAGTTTTATACCATACATATTTACAAAAGTGGCTTGCCATAGAAAAATAGAACCCAGTCACTGAATTTGCACCCTCACGGTGGGCACCTCCAGGGCGTGTGCGTCCCTTCCCATGCTGGCAGCACGCAGGTGGCTCCGTTCCCACATGGGTGTGTGCACAGATCCTACGTGTGGCTGTCCCGCTGTCTGACAGCCAGGCTGACCCCCTCCTCGGTCTCCAGGAAACAGAGGCAGAAGTGATCCTTGCTGAGGAGGGCCAGCGAGTCCCCGCTGCAGTGCCAGCACAGCGAAAGCACGGGAAAGTCACCTAGAGAGACACAGGTGGCCAGCTGATTAGAGCAGGAGCGGCCAGGGTCCCAGGGTGAGGGCAGCCCCTCGTCCTATGTGTGGGTAGAGCCAGGCTAGAGCCTGAAGCCGCCTCAGCTTGGGGTAGGGCTGCTTCTGTCTTGCGGGTTTCCCATGTCCGGCGTACCCCTGGGCTCCAGACTTGGTTTACGGAAAGGCCGGGAGCAGGTCTCGCTCAGCTCTGCAGATGGCAGCCGGGTTTAGCAACTTGAGCTCACTCGCCAGCCTGCCTGATGCCGCGGGACCCGCTGCCAGGGCTCCCGGCGCACTCACCTTCCCCGGGCACCTGCACTGACACGCAGCCTGCCGGGGACCACAGGTAGACCTTGCTGCCCGCCGTGCAGATGGCCAGCCGGGGCTGCTGCGGGTCCCACTGGAACAAGCGCACCGGGGACAGCTGCTCGAGCACCACGAACAGCCGCAGCTTCTGCATGTCCCAGACCCAGACGGCGTTGGGGACGTTGTCTGAGGGAGGAAGGAAGGAGCGCTGGAGTCACGGCCGCCCGGCCCGGCCCTCTGCTGTGCCGTTCAGCTCAGGGTGGGAGGCGAGGGGGTGGACGGGTGCAGGGCACCAGGGCCGGAGAGCGAAGCCTCAGGCTTTAGAGGACAGACTCACGTTTCTCCTCGCTTTGCTTTCTTTTTACAACCCTTTACAAACGTGAAAATCATTCTTAAAAACAGGCCCACAGGCTGCAGTTTGCACGGGGCCCTGCTTCCCCCAGTGAAGAGGGAGAAGTGAGCAAGAGGTGAGGGCGCCTGAGCTGGCGTGTTAGCCCGTCACCGTGACAAAGATGAGGCCCTGCTCCTCTAGAAGCTTCTGCGGGCAGAACTGTTGCTACTCCAGCAGCAAAGTGGGAAGAGGCAGCGTGTGGGGAACCCTCACTTGATCTCTCCCAGCTGTTTCTATGGCTGCTGCCAAAGGACACGGTGGCTGGACGGGCAGCACCTGTGGGGGCACTGACCGTTCCGCGTCGCCAGGAAGTAGCTGTCGGGACTAAAGGCCAGCATTCCCACGCCAATTTTAGGGTTCGCTCTGTCAGTAAGAGGCTTCAGAGTCTGCAAGGAGGCTGGCACGGAGGCGATCTCATCTAGGATACCGAAGGGAGAACATGCCATCGTCATCTTTCAGATGACGTCTGAGATGCTTCCGTGCCCACGGCGGGAGGAGGCGCCTCAGTTCAAAGGGAAGGAAAATGCTCCCTGGAGCCAATCAGGGCTGAACGGAGCCTGGTGGCCACAGTGAGAGGCCCGACCGCGAGCCCCTTGGGGAGGGCGGTGCTGTTCCCTGCAAGGCCCTGACCTGGGATCGAGGTGGACACCGCAGCCTCTCGAGCCCCAGCGGTACCGGGACAAGCTCCGGGACCACCCCCGACCCAGCGACGGTCTCAGCAGCCCAAACATCTCAGCGTTTGTTTTTCTCTATCCACTTCCGGCATTTTAGTTTACAATCTGCCCCAACCTCAACTGGCATATGCTATTTTTAGGCTTTGCAGGTGCAGAGCGCCCACTGCAAACCAGAAGCAGAGGCTGCGCCCTGACAGCGAAGTGGGTGTGCGCAGCGCAGCCTGGCTCCCGCTCCCTCCCACCCGGGCGCCTGCGGGCCTCGTGCTAACCCAGCCACTCCTCTAGCCGGAAACTCTCGATGTCCCCAGTGGCCCTGTTGAGTGGGTGGTTCCACTGTGCCCATTTTAGAGATGAGGAAACTGAGGCACGGGCAGATTCAGAGCCAGGCCACGGTGCTCCTGCATCTGCCCTCCTGACCACCGGCACCCTGATGCCCTCTGTGTCTCACTAAAAGGCCCTGCCCTCAGCTGACAGACACCAGCTGTCAAAACTTATATTCCATCAGCAAAAATGGTGCCTCGGTGGCCGACCAAATACTTCAGGTTCCAAATAATCTCAGGATCGATGGGTTGAGAGACACACTGGCTATGAGGTAGCACGGGAAAGGAAAAATATACAGGACATCTGAAATTTACCTGGACAAAGAGGAATCATTTGCATTTAAAAAAAAAAAAGAAAACAAGTACCTTCAGGGGCTACTTACATTTACTTTCCGAGGTGGCCCTGGGGGGCGGGAAGGGCAGGCGGCCCAGCCCCAGTTTCGGGCTCTTCTGGGCTTCCTTATACACGACCTGAAAGACACAGCGCGGCTGCCACTGCCCACTGCCCGCCTCACGACGGGTGGCGGGGCCGAGGAGACACACGGCCAGTGCCCGCAGGGGCGCGTGGCGTCAACACCGGGCCCACCATCTCGGGGGAGACGGAAGCGTGAGCCCCCTCCCGGGAGGCGAGATCACCCACCGGCCCTCAGGTCCTAGGGCAGGGTCTGCCCTTTAAGAAACAAGGCGGCAGATGCGCAAGTGCGTACTGAGGGACAGGAAGCCCCTGCACGCGTGCGGCCCGTCATTCACCGAGGGAGCCCGTGCCAGCCTTTCCGTCGCCATTAGTGACAGAGAGAAAGCTCGCGAGAGGCCAGGGCGGTGGACAGGCCCGGGGGCAGCAAAGAGACCTGAGGAGGGGCATCCTTGGCCGAGAGCCTGGCGAGCGAAGGCCAGCGGCACGGCTGGGGGAAGGCGGGCAGCCCTGGCCGGGCAGATCTGCGTTTCTGAAGCCGGGTTTGCAGGACGGCAGGAGTGCAGGCAGACCTCCCCAGCCCGCCTGGTCAGCCTGCACCCTGGCTCCCTCCTCACCTGCACGGCCGCCTGGCCCTGGCTGCTCCAGAGCCACCACCCTCCTGGGCAGTCCCCTCTGCCTGAAACTCCTTCTGGCCTTCACTTAGAACAGCCTCACCTTGTGCATACGGCCCCCAGCCCCTCGCCGTCCTCCTCACCACCTCTAGCCTGGCTCTACCAGGTCTCATTAATGGGTTTGTCTTTGTTCCCTGCTCTCCCCCAGCGCAGTGCCCGGCGGGCAGGAGGCACTCGCCGTGGGCACTTGCCAATGCCCCCTGAACAGAGGGACGTGCCCCAGGACCTTAGGACCTCCCATTCTCTCGGCCTGCTGTGCTCCCTGCCCAGGCCTCATCCATCCAGTGCCTGCTGGCTGGCGACCACCCCCTGCCACCCCAGGGAGTCACCCAGCTCTCCCTGCCCCAGCCCTGGCTGCCCTGCCCCCACCACAGGGGCAGGGCCAGGGGGTCTGTCAGCCACCTGCATCTGGAAAGACCAGGAAGGACACATCTGGGCTGGGATGAGGGGGAGGGAAGAGCTGGGCAAGGGGCCCACTTCAGACCCCTTGGCCAACGTGGACAGGAAGGACAAAGGCCACTGGGAAAGTCGGGCTCTGGAAAGGTTACACTAGCAAAAGTTTATGGTGACGTAAGTCCCCGTTAAAAATACGTCACAATAAATAACGCCAAGTGGAGAAGCAGCCCCCCACCCAGAACACCGCTTGGCAGAGACACGCACTGCACACTCACTGTCTTGGGATTGCTGACGGCTGCAGGATGCCCAAACTCCGTGATCATTTTCCAAGTCACGTGGTTGAGGATGCGCACCTGAGCAGGGACCACGCGAGGGTGAGCGCACGCCCGGCCCAGCGCTCTGTCGGGTCTCACCAGCGCCCCGCCCTGGTCCCCACCTTTCCGTCGTAGCTGCCAACCGCCAGGAACTGACTGCTGGGGCTCCAGGCCACAGACTTGACGCCCAGGGACCACTCGTACGCGCAGAACGCTGACAAGAGCCGGCCGTCGAGGGAGTAGAGCAGGACCTTGTACTGCGGACGAGACATCCCGCCGTTATCTGCAAATGCGCCACACTCACCTGGACACGTCACAGACTTGGCCGCTGCAGAGCGGGGCCCGCGCAGACAGCAGCAACTGTCCTCCACAGCCGTGGGAAAGTTCTAGATGATCAGCCAGAATTGAGATCACCCCTAGAGAAACAGTGACATCGGCATGCAGAAAAAGGGGACATTGGGATATGAATCTAATGACTTGCTGATGGAAGTTCGACTTGTTTGAAATGAGAGAAAGCTAACCATGTTGCTGCATTCAGAGAGCGCTACAGCCGTGCAGGTAAAGCCCCTTACAAGCGCACGTGTCACCCGGGCATCTTCCTACCTCCAGGCAGGTGTCCCACACGGCCAGCACACAGCCGTTCGGGGCCCACTCGATCCCTGCGAGATCCTGGGTGTCCGTATCAAAGTGCTTCCAAGGACAGGAGGGAAAAACAGATTAAAATGTGAAAATATTTCCTTACATAAATAATTGCATTTATTTGATAACTGATTTTTTAACACATTCAGCACTTAATTTTCTTATATAGAAATGGATGAAATCTCTACTCCTCTATCCTAGTAAGTGCATTAAATCCCTGAACTTCAGCACAGCACAGCACACGTGCCAGCATCGCGCCAGCCGGGGAGCGGCGCCCCGGCCACGGTCTGGACGAGCCTGCACACGCGGGCACTGCTGCCCTCTTGCCCGGCAGGGCCGCTCCTTCCAGACCCACTCAGACAGGTCCCTTTGGGGCATTCCCTGGTCTGCGCTCAGCATCCTGGCGGTCTCTCTGCCTAACCCGGGGTCGTGCTGAAACCGTGCTCAGCTCTGCTCTCTGTGCCTGGACACCTGGAAGCGGCACCTGGAAGCGTCTCCCCACGCAGGCCCTCAGTCACGTGAACTTGAACTTTGCTCCACCTCCCGATGCAGCTCGCACATATGCAAATGCCAGTCACACTCACGGGAAAGGAAAAAGGCTCCCTGTTGACAGCACATTAACATCCAACGCACCACCACGCACCACTTCCACCGAGCCCCGCACACACCGCCGGGTGTCACCTGCAGGGACTCCCAGCAACCTGCCCTTCGGCAATACGAGGCGCACTGCTCCGTATTGTACCAAGGTCCCTGGAACCTTAAGGAACATCCACGGCGCGCCATTCCCTCTCCCGTCAATGTGGTATCTGCGTGCCCCGCTGGGGGAGAACGCCTCACCCTCAGGAGCTGCCAGTCACTGCAGACGAAGACGCTCACGTAATCTTTGCAGTCGCGTCGCTCCGCCAGCGCCATGTGGCGGCCGTCCCTGGTAAAGGTGATTCCTGCCCCAGAGAGGAAAGTGCGCTGGGAGAGAGAGGCCACAGCCATGCTCGTCAAGAAGAATGAGCAGCAGGCAGAGGGAAGAGGAAGGGAAACCACACAGACCACCTGCGCCCGCGTCTCTGCAGACAGACGCGAACACCCGCTGCGGAGAGCTGTGGTCTGGTCCCCTCACAGCACAGCCAAAACCGGGCGAGGCCCGTGCACACACAGACGACTGACGTGCGAGGAACGCCAAGTCACCTGACCCCGAGGGATCACAAACTATACTGGAAAACATGCAGTGTCTCGGGATGACCAAATTTATAGCCGCGGGACATCTGGGGATGCTTCCGGCTGGGCAAAGGCCAGCTTGCTGCAACATTCCTTATTCTCATTTTTGAGTTTAATTATTTGCAAGAAGTAAATTTAAGATGAAAATGTGAAAAATACTCAGGTTGAAAAAAAACTATATTTCCCAGTTCTGTATTAGCTTAAAAAGTCCTAAGCCAAAATTCATACTTCCTGAGTAAAAAAGCCCCTGAATAATATAACTATTCTGTCCACTCAAGAATGTGTATCTCCTCTAGAAGAGACACTAAGATTCAAACTATAAAAATAAATGTGCACTTGCATCTCACTCGAATGCAGTTTGCAAATTGCTGACAGCAACAGGGAAAAATGGAAACATCACTCAAATGGTGAGACTTCCTTCCGCCCATGGAAGGGGACGCCTCGCTGTAATTCACGACTTGCCGGGGCTGCATCCCGCCAGTCCGACGCTGTCCCGTTCAATCTCACTGGTGGTGGCCACAGCCCACCTTTCTGCCAGATGGCTCAGAGGCTTTGACAGGGGACAGCTGTCACTGATCCCTCCTCTGGGAGGCCCAGAGGTGACAGGTGTGCTCTCCCCTTTACCAGGAGATCAGATTTAGCCAACAGAAGAGTGAGAGATGTGACGTTCAGAACAGGATGCTTGGGGTGTGTCCTGACAGGGACCTGAACTCCCAGTGCCGGGACGGGGTCAAGGGGCTCCCCTGAACACCACTGTCGTTGAGGTCTCAAACAGCGTCCTCTTTAGTCACGGTGCTCATGTTTTCAAGGGGAACTCTTGTCTTTTAGAGATACATATGGAATATCTGCAGATGAAGTATTAGGAGGTCTGGGACACACTTTAAAATAACCCAAGGGGTGGGGTGGGTATAGAGGAAAAAAGACTGGCTAGGAGTTGTGTGTTGTTGAGCTACCTTTGCCTGTTGAAATGTTCCATGACAAAATTGTCAAAAACCCCAAAATAGCTGCAAAGAGATGGCTTTCGAGTAGCGCTGGCAGACTTACCCTGCTGACAAGCTTTAGGGTATTTGATGTAAGATACAGATTTTGTGCACAAGGACCAGACGGTTATCCGCAACTGTTGGGGGACAGGGAAAGAGAAAGGAAACAGGACATACTCACCACCTTCAGAAAGAGTCTTGAATCCTAACCCACGTCATTAGCACCCAAGGACAAGACGTGCTGAGGTGAAACTGTCAGGACGTCCAGGGATGTTTCCCTCTTAACAAGCATATTCAAATGCACATTTTACTGTTATTAAAGTAAATTTAGGTTCTTGGTATTTTTTCATTTTATAACAATATATTTGAGTGACACAAAGTTAAATATAAGTGCATTTTAGCTAGCTATTTCAAAGTAAGCACAAGTTGCATATTGTAATAAGCCTAAAAAGTTAGTTAGTCAGAGCAAAATCTTGGTACAGGAAAACCACCATGTCCAGTCTCCTCCATGAGGTGGACGACGTGCTCTGTAGATTCGATTTGTTTC